CGACTTTCTTGGAGTAGGAGGTGGACCCACATGAAAGGTAAAGATCCATCTAGTTTGTTCATGTATTGTACTTTATTTATGTATTTATTTTTAAATATAATTGGGTCGTAAATTAAAAAAAAAATGATTGAGAATTGTCATAGCCGAAAGGCCAACCCAACTTGACCTAGGTTCCATTCAATTTCGATCTAAAATCAAAATTTGATTCGGTGGTTAGACCAAACCCTTTCATTCATTAAATTGGATATGAACGACGTATTTTAGTCTATGGACCGACCCTTTTGGACCATATTTGGGTCAGCTCAATAGCTTTATTATTGGGTCAACTTAAATAGATTTGTCTATATAATTCCCGTATTATCCTTTATATAACTCGAGATGTCTATAAAAGTATCTCCCGTTTCCACAACCTATTTTAGTTCCAAAAATGAGAATTAGCGGGAAAATTTTCAATTTTTTTTTATAGTTTTTATTTTAACAATATTCCTTTCATGTTTCCCTATTAAAAGAAATATAAAATATTCTAATAATATTCTACCACAATAATTTTAAATTATCAAAAAAATAAATTAGTTATATATACACTGAGACAATGAATATAATCCTATCTTTGACCTTATTTTAACCAACAGAGAAAAATCCCTCTCAATTTCACGTTTAAATATAGATTCTTCATAGAACACAATCCCCATGGATTAAACAGACATCTCTAGACATAATAATCATTTCCAAAATTGTTGGAATATGCATTTAATTATTCAAAAATCGAGTCTTATATCAACCGAGTAGCGTAACAACACATAGCACGAACACAAATTTTTAAAATTTCTCTCGTATTCATAGAATATACTTTAAACATTGGGTTAAAATTCCACCCATTTACACATATTTTACATCCAAATGCCAAATTTTGATAATCATTCAAACATACTCCACATTCAAATCGATCAATCTCTTATAATCTCCCTCAGAAACAGAGCTGCTCTGTTCTTCCTCATCTCTGTTTCCTTTCCTCTTCTTCTTCTTCGTCTTCACTGTCGGGGCCTCCTCCAAGGACGTCAAAGAGCTATCAATGGAGCCCATCCTCGTCTCCCTCACCTCATCTGATTGATACCCATAGCTCACCATTGACGCCAATTCCGACAGCTCCGCCTTGGCCTCCTCCAGCGCTTCAGAACAACACCCATACCCTGCAATCATCTCTTGAGCTCTTCTCAGCACTCTCTGTAAATACTTCCCTTGAGCTTCGATTCTCAGCTGTAAATGCCTTTGTACCTCAATTTGTTCATGTAATCTCTTCATATTCCTTGAATCAACCCAAGAATTACATAAGAAAATTGCCATTTCAGATACAAAAAAACACAAAAACGGGTTTTTTTTTTGGTTTTTTCACTTCTCTTACTCGTTCATGCTATGATTTTCAGGCTTTTGGGTCTTCCCCAATCTGTATTTCTGATATAAAAACAAACCCAAATCAGTTTTTTAATGATCCAATGAAGAACAGCCATAGATTGAAAGGAAGTAGAAGAAGAACCTGTAAATGACTCTTGAGATGATAGAGAGTAAGGCCAGTGATACCCATGGCACGCATCAAGCTCTTAGGAGTAGCCTCTGTAACAAAAAAACACACAAAAACAACTAAGTAAACGGATCACAACATTCCACCATAAGAACAAGAACAAGAACAAGAACGAAACTGTGAGCTCCACCGAGATGAACGACTGCGTCGACAAATCTTTGATGAAGTTCAGGAGTCCATTTCAAGCGTGGCTTTGGATCAGTAGACAAAACCAAGTTGATGTGGTGATAATTTTGCATAATTATTGGTTCTTTTTCTCTTTGAATATCCATAGAAGGAAGGGTATGGTTTGGTTCAGGTTCTCTCTTTATATCATTAAAAAAAGGGTTTTGTTGGAAGGGAATATATGCTTCATGAGCTGTGCTTCTTTTTCTTCTTTTTATATTATTGTTTCCTAATTATATTACGTTCATACCAATTTTTATTTTTTTATTTTTTTATTTTTTGTTGAGAGAATCTGAAAAAAAACGAAAGAAAGATACAGAGATGGAAGGAAGAGTCTCAAAAGGAGAGAAAAGAGGGAAAAAAAAAAAAGTGTATGGTTTGTTTTTATCTTGCTGTTTTCCTCTCTCTTGATTCCCATTTGCCTTTGCTAAGCCCCACGAAACCCACCATCAACGATCACGATCACGATCACGAGTTGTTTAAAAGATGTGAGGATATGAAAAACTCGATCAATTTAACCTAATTCATACAATCTGTGTAACGTTCCAAGTCCACTGCTATCATATCCCTTCTGGGTCTAGCCTACTTTGATCAGTGCCTCTGTTACCATTTCTAACGGCTCAAACCCACTTCTAGTAGATATTGTCAATTTTGACTCATTACGATCGCTACAGCCTCACGATTTTATAAAGAATGTTTTGTTCTCCTCTACAACTGACATGGGATCTCACTGTTTGGGTTAGGTTATCAATTTATTTAGATTGAGTTGAGTTAAGTTACAAATTGATTCATGGGTTTTTATGAACAACTCGATCTAAGTCAACCCAATAGCTAATTGAATTATGTGGGTTGAGAAATTTTATATCCCGAACAATTGGGTTGGAGTAAAACATGTCTAAACCTGAGATGATTTATCCTATAAACGTCCGTAATCATGGGTATTTCTTTTCGTGATTTATCAAATGGGGTTTTTGTATAGTGTATGGTGTGGTTGGCAGATTCTTTTTGTTGTTTGCAAAGGATAAAGGAATCAAAGAATCTAATCTAACCTTAGATTTTCAAAAGCCATCTGAACAAAAGAAAACTTATCCTTTTCTTTTCCATATTCAAGCAAGAAAGAGAATCATACTAACTAATCTCGTTCTATTTCTACCAAATTTAATCCAAAATAGAATTAGATATGTTTCGATTCATCGTTGAACTCGTTGATTAAAGGTTACGAGAAAATTCAAAATTTTAATAGCTGAATTTGAGAGTCGATCGAGTGAAATTCAACTAGGGATGAGTTTGAAAAAGAACGGTTTTTTAAAGCCCTCAACTATTTCATATTATGTCTCCCTCGCTCTCGGTTCTTGCTTCCTCAACTCATAGTGTTTCTCTTGTATGATCTCTCTTTCTTTTGGGGTTAGCTTTCAACGTTAGTAACTATGCACAATAACCACACATTTTAGTTGCTTTACGAGAACTTACACTCAAAATTACAACAATATTCCACTGTGGAGGTGCGACTTTTAGTAACCCAGTTTCTCCATAAGGAATACGTCTAGGAGAGCATTATACGATAACCTCAAAAAAGACATAAGAGTACTGACGACCATGACAGAACAACACTCCGTTCATCACAACAACGAGATCAAATCAATCAATAGAAAGAGGATTCTGTATCTTTCGTATTCATTCACGCTGAAACAGATTGTCTTAAGATTTTACCACCAATTATTGGTACGAAAAATTAAACCCGTTTAATTTCTAAAAAAGAGATACATCGACAATAAAGCAATCAGAGTAAACCATCCTTTCATTATTATAAATATATATATATATATATATATATATATATATATATATATATATATGGTTTACCCTTTCATTATTATAAATATATATATATATATATATATATATTTGAGAAGAAAAAAAAAATATTATTATAAAAGAAAAATAATAAAAGGTAAAGAAAAAAAAAAAGTGATCCATTCATGAGTGGAATCAAAATCAAATCATTTCATATTATAAAGAAATATTTTTCCCTTTTAACCTCATTCATTTCTTGGCCTCCAATTTTCACCATAAATATTATATTATATTATTTATTTATTTATTTATTTATTTATTTATTTATATTTTGGATATTGGAAAATGAATGATGATTCTGTCCAAACTAGCTTGCTTCACATTGAAAGGAAGGAATATTAATTATTGAGATGAATTAATGGGTAATGTGGGCCAAATGTTTGAAAAAATGGTGAACAAAAAAGGGAACAACAAAAGATGAGTTGAGTTCTTCAACTACCTTTCTCTTTACCTTCGATTTAATGTCTTACTTTGCTTCCAACGATACGGAGCGTAATTGATTTCTCTTCGTTCATCAATCATATTTGATACGAGAAGTTCATGATCTTGCTCCTAAGAACGTGTGCGTCGCCTGAGAAAATGAAAGATATATGAATGACCCAGAACCACATCCGATGAGAGTGATCATCAGAATATGATGTTTAAGAATTTGTAACCTCTCAAACCTACCATTACCAGATATTGTTTTAAAAATGCGTTTACTAGGGAAATGTTTTCAAACCCTTATAAAATGTTTCATTCTCCGATATCACAAAATTACTTATAAGAACTGATAGTGGTTATGTATACCAATAAGTGTGTCGAGGTTAGAATAATTCTGTATTGAATGACCTCTGAGAATTTTCCCTATAAATATGTAAGTGAAGACAAACTATGCTAAAAGATCCTGAGCTGATTTGTTTGTTCAAGACAAGTAGGTAATATAGGAATGTCGGAGTCATCATGTGTTGAATATAGATACTAAATGCTGGTCAAAATTCTGAGCATGAACGTTACAATAGGAGATTATTATCTTATTATAGCCCCTAGCCAAAGCCCTCAAGAACCTCACAAGAGGCCTGTCCCGCGCACACCCATTGCGCTAAACCTCACAACTAGCTCAGTGCTACCAAGCCTCGCAAGGTGCTTCAGTGTGCATGACCTCACATGTGCAACGCCACCGGCGCCTATGCTTGCCTCTTAAGCAGCTTGTGGGGCTTGGTTGTGAGCCTCTCCCATTCGCATCCAACATCCGCACATGCCCGCCCACACTCATCAATAGCCAAGTGTCATGCATGCTTCTTATATTTTTATTGATATTTGTTCTAATCCAACGAATAAGTTAGCCGTATGAAAATCATATTTTGTAGTCAATTCAAACGTATAATCGAGCCTCGAACCACGTTTTACGTCAATTACATGAGTGCTTAAAATTTAATTAGTTTATTCCAAGAGAATATTAATGTAAATTATTGAAAGCTCAATATTTACAAGGAAGAACAAACCAAGCTTTATTCTATCTATACATAAGAAATCCACAAACAAAAGGGGCAAAAATCCTAACCCTAAGCTCCATGATCTGAAGAAACTCCATTAGAACCCTCACTTCTCCGATCATTATTGAAAGAAAAACCAACCCAAATCTCCCTCGCCCGCCGTCCCTCGTTGTTCTTCCGATCAACATCATCCGGCAGCTTGCACCTACAAAGAGGGCAATTCCCATGAACCCCAAGCCATTTCTCTATACAATCGGGATGAAATTTGTGTCCGCAAGGCAGTTCTTTAGCCACCGCCCCAATTTCCCACTCATCCAAGCAGATCACACACTCACAACCCAACTCCTCTGCCATGATTTGAACGGTGGGGAGCGCTTCTATGGATGCTCTGGACGCCGGCGGCTGGCCGTCCTTCCCGCCGAGATCGCGCATCAGCGCTTCCAAGCTCGAACGCCCCTCGATCACGACCATGCTCTGAGTAAAAGGGTTGACCAGAAATATCCTGTCGCTCCGATTGGCGTTTTGGCGATCTGGGTCGGCGGGGTTTTGGGATTGTTGAAGTGGGTCGGCGGTGGAGAAGCCGAAGAGGAAGGGCATGAAGAGAGAGAGGTCTCTGTTTCCGATGAAGGTGTCGAAAACAGAGGAGATTTCAGGGGAATTGGAATCGGAGGCCATGGATGTGGGAATCGGAGGTTGTTCTGGGTTTGGAGATTGAAGAAGGGAAGGGTAATGAATTATTGGCGTTTGGAGTTTGTTTGATAATGAATACATAAATTGCCTCTTCATCCATCAGTGCCCCCAATGCAAGGCAAAGCCGGTGCCTGTCCTTTTCATTCTATATCACTGCCATGAAACGATAATAGGATGAGATTTTGATGTGGGTTAAAAAAGACATTACACTTCGTCTCGATCTTTACCCGATAAAAAATGATCCTGATTTGGTTCATGAACTTATAAAAAATACAATTTAACGAAATAATTTCGTACTGGAATAGTGACTAGCCGAATAATGACTAGATCATTGTGACGATCCAGACAAGATAGATTCTATATTTTCTTATGTAAATAAAAAATAAGTTTGTTTCTTATAATCTATGATTAATTGACATGTTAAATGAATAAATAAACTATACGTAAATTTTATAACATGGTATTTTAGCGTCCTATGTGCTTTAATCTAATGTCAACTTCAGACAACTATACCATAGGTCAAAGCTCATTGAATTGAAGGTATTTGAAGAGTTTTAGAGTTGTTTTAGAGTAAGTCCTATTGCATCTTAACCGTGTTCATCATCTTGTTGGAACTTGTTGTTCCGATCAAAAGCAGTATTAGGGATGCTTGCGTAGAGTTTAAAATTGGTTTAACTCGAGCATTTCTATGTTGTCCATGTTGTAGCACAAACGCATTTCTATAAAGTGATTATTATAAATTCTAATAGTCTTAGTATGATGCGACTTATTTCGATAGAACAACCTTGAAATACACACAATTTGGCAGAACTCTTTGAATACTTGCTCTCAACTCAAGATCGACCCTATTTAGACGCTAAATAAACAAACATTCTGGCTTAAGCTCTCAAATAAAGATCTTTCTCATGCTATCTACTATTTTGATTTGACATTCTGTCACCAAATTCATGACATGCCCAGCAAATTGTATACAACACAAAACCTCCCCGTAGATAACTTCTCTATATAAAAAAGAATGTACAAAACACAAGAGTTTTATGTTTAGCTTCCAAGAAGCAGCATCAAGCAGTGCGATCAAATTGGAACATAGAATTGACTGGTCCCGAAACAGACGACAAAAATAATAGAAGTTTGTTGGTGACTGTACCTGGTTTTGGAAGATGACAAAAAGCTAGGGGAAGATGTTGGCACATACAAATGATGATGACGATGACGGCAACGACAACAAAAACAAGTAGATGAAGACAGGGTTTTCATGTTTGAAAATATAGTATTTATTACATGGTTGATTGCTGCAGTTCAGTTCAAACAGGAGTATGAGGATGAGGATGAGGAAGAGGGTGAGGGTGAGGGGTGAGGGGTGCCCCTGCTGCTGATGCAATCGCAAATTGTAAGCCTCTATGCTGTCCATGTTGTAGCACAAACGCCACTTGTGTTGCAGCCACTGCTGCCGCCTCCTGCTGGTTCACAACCATACAATTCTCTATTCAATTGGAAATGTCTCAACTTAGCAGTAACATTCTATTAAGTTCATTATGTTCCAACTCTCTCTCTCATTATGTTTCAGGCTTCATACAGCTAACTAACCTAAGACTTGACAATATGCAAAAATATCTTAAGACTTACAATACAACTATAACATAATTTAAGATTTTTCTGTTTTAAACTACTTATTTAAAAGATTGACAGACTTCAGAAACAGTTTTTTTTTCTTCTAATGGAAGAAAAAACACAAAGATAGAACCTACAACAGCTCAAATGCCCAAGCCCACTGCTAGAAGATATTGTCCTCTTTGGGCTTTTCCTATTGGACTTTCCCTCAAAGTTTTTAAAATTGTTAGGAAGAGGTTTCCACACCCTTGTAAAAAATGTTTCGTTTCACTCCCCAACCGATGTGAGATCTCCTTTTGGGGCCAGCAACCTCGTTGGCACTCGTCCTATCTCCCATCGATGTAGGATCTCACAGAATCTCTCTTTCTAGTTACCAAACCATTCTTAATTTTCAAAGTTTCTACAGAAGAGTTTATAAGAAGAAAAAATTTAAAGAACTCCTAAATTACCAACCTGTCTTTGTCTTCGACGTTGCAAGATACTGATGGCCCAGGCCATGATGTAGCAAGGTAACAGAAAACCAGCAGCACGAAGCAAGAAAATCTGTCACAGGCATGTATTAAGATTGTAAACCCATCCCATCATGAACTCTATTTTTCCTTTTCAATTTAAGAAAATAAATTCATACTCCACTTACAGAGAAGAAGGCAGATGCATCATCTTCTCCGTCTGGATCTGTTATGGTCAATGCATGACGCAGAAGGAGAAGAGCTAGTAACTGCCGCATAAAATAAAATAAATCATCAGTGCAGTAGCATGGAAAACAATGGAGTGGAAAGTCTGGTATCATTCCAATTTTTGGTGAAAAGAAGAGTTTCTACGAACTACTAATAGCAAACATACAATAAGAGCAGCCGATCGGCAAAATGCAGCTCCACTGTCATTTGAAGCAGCATAATCATCATATTCGGCCTCCAGAAAGTGCCGTTCCGCCTCTGCAATGGCTAATAGCCGAGTATCTCTCAGGTCTAATGGATTACCAGCAATAGTCCATCTTCCCCTGTGCAGACCCACATCCAGATCAATATTTAAAATACAACAGAAATTACATGAAAACAAAATATTTGCGGGTGTTCAGAAACATGCTAATCAATGCAAGACAATAGGAAATAACAAAAAGATTGAGCTTACTCCATATCAATAGCAGTTTCTTCAGAACGAGATGGTGCAGTGTATCCAGGTTGATAAAACTGGCAATTGAATAAAACACATCAGCATCAATGAGGAATTAAACACCAAAATATCAACAGAAAAGAAGCTGCAACTGCAAATCTCATTATCCCATTCAACATAGCATAAAACAAGTGCAGACAAAATGAGGATGACATTTTATAATTTTTATTCAGAAAAAGTGAATAAAACAGATAAATGTTCTTCATTATTATTATTTTTTTTTTGGCAAAAAAGAAGCATTCATAATCTTGGCCAATGCACCGTGACAAATAAAGAGAGCAGACAACCAACTAAGAACAACAAACATTCCACTCCCGTAAAGGTCCAGACTTAGCAATGGAATGGTCTACAGGATCAAGGTTACAGCAATGAGGTTAAAGGAGAAAGAATTATAAGCGAGGGAGAAGAGGAGCCTAATGTTATAAGCGAGGGAGAAGAGGAGCCTAATGACCTGAATCAGAAGCCCCATGATCAAAATAGAAAAGGCCAGTCATCAAACCAACTTTTCACCAACAACAAAGTTTTAACAGAAATATCTCTTAATCCCAAAGTCACGAATAAACACCAATGCCTTGTCCATCAACACACTCAACATTAAAGAACCTCAACCTTTACCATCTCTGACAATAATGCCCCAACTCCCTTTCGCCACATAGAGTATCCCAAATGGTATCCACATTACTTTAGGTTGAGCATGAGGAAGGAGGAATCGACCTATTGACATGCTGGTCGTCTTCCTCTCATATAGATGGAACAATCTTCTATGATACCAGATCCAACCCACATTACTTTATGGTTTCCTCTGAGATGGACATATCAAGAGAAAGGAGGGAAAAAGGTAGGGCTCAAAGAGAGAAGGAAAAGTGACTGGTCGAGAGTGAAAGACCAAAAGAAAGAAAAGGAAAAAAAAAAAAAAAAAAAAGTAAACCTCCTTCATTTATGTGGTTTGTAGAGTACAAAATTCTCTCTTTGCTTCTATGGTTTTATCCTGCAACACTCTCACCCATCGGGTGTGTGCCCTATAGAGGTAGGCGAGGTGCCCCCTCTTCAGCGTGCACACTTTTATGCACTTTTTAAAACACTAAAAGTGAATTTTTTTTACTCCCGATGTAAGAATTCAAAGAATTAAGAGTTACGAAAAAAAAAATATTCTTGGCAGAAAACTTGCACGCAAGCTAAAGCATATAGATAATATTAGCAATTTATTTGAAATTCTCCGATCGCAAAAACTTTAAAAGAATGCAAAAATGGTCGACATATCAAATAAAAAACATCATGCATACCTGATGACATATCTCACAAATTATGTCTCCTTTCTCATTGCACCAATGTTGAACGCACTTTCTATGAGCATACTGAACAAAAAAAAAAAAAAAAAAAAA